ATATAATGGAAACTACTGTCAATGGTGTTGCAAACAGGACATAGACTGTTATTACGCAAGGTAAAGCGAGCAAGATATGAATTAAAACGGCCATGACCGGTGTAAAATTGTATAGAATGATGAGTAACTTCAATCCAAGTGTTCTTCAAAAATTTCAATATATCAGGAAAAAACTGTTTCGTAACTGAGGTGTTGGCATCCCAACTATGCTGCCACTCCACAAGCAAATCGTTCCAAAGGACCTCTTTCAGCATTTTTGTTGAAATCATATTGTAACTGATAGAGATGTTCTGGTCAGCCGCCGCCATTTTAGCAAGTTGATCCGCCCGATCATTGCCGTAGTCATTACAATGTGATCTCGTCCAATTAAAATAATACTCATTATCAGACTCAATCAACAGTCTTTGAATACTAAAGACCAGAGGATGAACAGACTTCCTCCGAATCGTAGAGAGAGAAGATAGTGAATCGGTAATGATTGCAATTTTGGCATTATTGAGAGCCCGTTCACACCACTCGATTGCCTGTAAAATAGCATATAACTCTGCTTGAAAAATGCTACAAAGTGGACCAAGTTTAAAAACATTATAGTAAATTTCAATATTGTTGCGAAAAGCAACGAAACTGGCACCAACATGACAGTCACACTTCGAACCATCGGTAAAAATTTTAATGGCACAACTAGTAGAAGAAGCTTCGATAAATCTGATGTTAGTGTAGGGGCTAAAAGTGTCTTTATAAGGAATATTTTTCTCCCAGCTTTCCTCAGTGAAGGAGTTTGACATAGAGGTAAGATGATTACCACATTTGACTTTCCAAATTTTTTGTAAGTAGTTAATATATTTATCAATAGGCGGCTTGCAAGCAAGCACTTGCAAACTAGCATTAGCCGTAGTTCTGTATGCTTTGGTTATCATCAACAAAGCTCTACGTTGTGCCGAGATCAATTTGCATTTTTGATGTACCTTAACTGTGGCAGAGCCCCAAATGCCAGAGTCCCCCCAAATTGTAAAGCCCCCTGTGCGAGCATAAAAGTCAAAAGGACCATGCCCGTACGGGCGACCCTTTGTGAGATATAGCCCTCCAAAGATGTGCCTACGTCATATCTGGTCACGTGACTCCGCGCCCAAAAGGGACGGCGTCACATGGCCAAATTTTTTTTTTTTTCGGTTTTCCCCATCTCAGTGTTGCAAAAAAAGCGTGCTCTCCCCTTTCCTTAGCCCCCAGCGCGGGCCTCCTTCTCCCGTCCACTCCGTCGCCACCGTCTACCCCTTGCACGCAGCTGGCGGACGAGTCTCCTGCCTGCAGCCTTCCAGAGTCGCCATCTGTTGCCTGTAAATACAAATATCTATTATTATTACACCTCTTACCTCAGCCAAGGCTCGAACCCCGGTCCCGGCAGGCGCCGATCCAATTCTCTCCTCACCGGCCCGCCAGGTCGCTCTGCCAGAAACANTCTTTATAAGGAATATTTTTCTCCCAGCTTTCCTCAGTGAAGGAGTTTGACATAGAGGTAAGATGATTACCACATTTGACTTTCCAAATTTTTTGTAAGTAGTTAATATATTTATCAATAGGCGGCTTGCGAGCAAGCACTTGCAAACTAGCATTAGCCGTAGTTCTGTATGTTCTGTATGCTTTGGTTATCATCAACAAAGCTCTACGTTGTGCCGAGATCAATTTGCGTTTTTGATGTACCTTAACTGCGGCAGAGCCCCAAATGCCAGAGTCCCCCCAAACTGTAGAGCCCCCTGTGCGAGCATAAAAGTCAAAAGGACCATGCCCGTACAGGTGACCCTTTGTGAGATATAGCCCTCCAAAGATGCGCCTATGTCATATCCGGTCACGTGACTCTGCGCCCAAAAGGGACGGCATCACGTGGCCAAATTTTTTTTTTTTCGGTTTTCCCCATCTCAGTGTTGCAAAAAAAGCGTGCTCTCCCCTTTCCTTAGCCCCCAGCGCGGGCCTCCTTCTCCCGTCTACTCTGTCGCCGCCGTCTACCCCTTGCACGCGGCTGGCGGACGAGTCTCTTGCCTGCAGCCTTCCAGAGTCGCCATCTGTTGCCTGTAAATACAAATATCTATTATTATTACACCTCTTACCTCAGCCGAGGCTCGAACCCCGGTCCTGGCAGGCGCCGATCCAATTCTCTCCTCACCGGCCCGCCAGGTCGCTCTGCCAGAAACAAATCGGAACTCATACTTGAGCCGTGCTAGGCCGAGGAGTGCACTGCGCATGACGGGGCCTCCGGGCGGACATCCCTCTCAGGCACAGATGCAGCGCGCCAAGTCACGTGGCTCCCCTCGATTGTGAAGTGGGAGTGGGCCTGTCGCGTGGCCACTGGGCGGTCAGCCGCGGGTCACGTGACCACGGCACCACCACCCGAGGTTTTATAAGCCTGTGCGCTGCCTAAGGCCCTTCGTACCCAGTGTTTTGTTCATACAAAAATGCCGTTTACGTGTGATGTTTTAGCGTCTCCTGTTTAGGATCCCGCCAACATATTTCAACATCTTAAGTCCTACACATTTAGTCGCTACCTCCCCACCGAAGAGGCTGCCCAGAAGTTTTGCCATCTTGTGGGGCTCGTGCCACATCCGGACCTAACCGGTACCTTGCCACCGTGCCCTAAGTGTGGAGGCAATATGCGCAAGGTACTGGCTCCACCTGACAGGTTCAGATTCTACTACCGCTGAGAAAAACTGAACCAACAACGAACAGTTAGACGACGGACAGGCGACACCGTCCAGAGGGCCCTGTGCACTGGTAGCCTGTCTTGTAAACACAATACATTTTTGAAACGAGCGAAGCTTTCAGCTACAGAAGTATGATATTGCAGTCGATCACGAGAAAGTGGGACTGCAAAACTGCAGCTTTCTCACAACAGCAGCAGTTTCTTAGTCCGGTATTTTTCGGTTAGCGTTCTCTCCATAAACCACTGTATACCAATGTTAGCAGTCGACGTAATCACTGGAATCTTCTACTTTGTAATTAGTCGATAATTATTTACAGTGATCTTTGGCTAAGCCATGCGAATAGAACAGTTCGATTTTGATTGAAGTATTGGTACAGTTGCTGGAGCCCTGCTAACCGGAAATTACAGTCTTGTCTGCATCACGCTATGTTCAGCGTTTCTGTAATTTGCTCGTGCCGCTTACGATCACCGATGTGTACAAGATGTGTTTTCTCTGTATTTTACAGGTGCTGAAGCTGATTTATTTGTGGGTCAAGCAGGAGCCGGTCACCATCGCTGCAGAGGAATGCGAGGTGGCCCTCGCGACAGCGGTAGATTGGTACAACTTCTGCCGGGAAGTTGCGGAGGTTTTCGTCTCACAAAATCAGGACATCAAGCTAGGCGGTGAAGGAATGCACGTCGAGGTGACGATCGCCGCACGTTTCTGACTTTGCCGAAAAGTCTATGTCTATATTCATGTTATTTCGTTTTCAGATCGATGAGACCTTCACCAGGAGGCGAAAATACAACTGCGGCCGTGTAAGTGTATACACCCAAATTACTATATTTGGTGCATACTGTCGGGAAANTTCTGGCGTAATTCGCGTACAAAATTTAAGATGTATTAAATTAATATATTTTAAATTATAAATAATTGTTTACTATAATAACTGCTGTCCCACAGGCCTAACCTAGTTACTACTTTATCGTGAATGGAATAAATCTTTGTACAGTCCGGTTTCTTCTCGTTTTTAAAATATATTTTCTTTAATGCCCAAAGAGCAATTACTGCTACGAATATTTTCAAAATATCCAAATATAGAAGTAATAAATTCAATTTAAAAATATTTTTAGCAACTTTCTGTAGAAAATCTGTCCGAAATGAATTTACTACGCAAGTAGGTTACATAAATTTCATTGAAACTTTGTTAATTCAGTAAATTCGTTATATTTTATTTGTAATTTAAAATATTTCTTGGATTTCCATATTTAAAATTATCGAGACAAAAAGAAATAATGGATACAGAATATAGAAATGTAACAAATAGCGTTGTTTGTTCGCGAAAAGAAGACACGTGATAACGTCAAGTGAAAAAAAATAAAAATCAAATACATATAAATCGTAGAAAGATTATACACTATTTTATTTCTTTGTATAAAGTAGTGTATAATCTTCCCACGATTCTAAGTAAAGAGGTAAATTTACAGATAATTTAGCTTCTCATACAAAACCAAATTCAACATGAAATATCTACGCAAGAAGCCAAAGAAATATGGTTTCAAAATTCTTTTCTGACATAATTACATTAATTTTCCTTACTGCCTGCAATTCATTTTATTCTTTCCGCCCCGTGGAAAGATAGTTGTAAAAAATAAAGACTAATAAACATTTGACGAATAATAAAGAAACGCAACGCCACGCGACACGCCGAAGAAAAATATCAAATCGAGATTCGCAGTCAATTCTTTGAGGACCTAATAATAGCAAAAACCAGTAAAATGTAGCAAATATAGTAATGTTAAGTAGCAATAACCCTCCAATCTGTTATATTAGGTTTTTCATATTGAAATAAGCAATTAACTGATTATCGTGCGCTTAATGCGCGTTGGACGCGCCGCGCAACAATATTTATTATCTATTGTTGCATTAACAATAAACGCTTCTAATTTTGGTCATTGTCAAAGCGAGTTTAGCTAATTGTCGAAGAGTTTATTCGATGTGGTTTCATCTAATGCGAAATAGTTATTCAATATGAGTACAACAAGTAAGTTTACTTTATTTTATTATATATACTTTAACTATNTTTTCATATTGAAATAAGCAATTAACTGATTATCGTGCGCTTAATGCGCGTTGGACGCGCCGCGCAACAATATTTATTATCTATTGTTGCATTAACAATAAACGCTTCTAATTTTGGTCATTGTCAAAGCGAGTTTAGCTAATTGTCGAAGAGTTTATTCGATGTGGTTTCATCTAATGCGAAATAGTTATTCAATATGAGTACAACAAGTAAGTTTACTTTATTTTATTATAAGTACTTTAACTATAATTATTCTTTACTTGTTTGCACTATTAACCAGTACACGGAAAAATAATTCTCCAATCCTTTCTGACTTAAGGAGGCTAAAAAATTCCAAGACCCTAATCCATTTACTTAAACTTGAATTAGAGCCAGGATTAAAAAATTAAAAGTCAAAAAAAGGTAAACTTTGAGAGAAAAATTTGTTTATTTAGTTTACTCTATACCAGGTGTGGCCAACAGCTTTTGCTCCCGGGCCGAATTAAAAAGACGACTTTTTCCGCGGGCCGAACCAGAGGCTGCCCTAGGAAGATTTTGAGGTGGTGCGAGATCTCATTGTGGTTTTTTTTTTTTTTTAACTCTTTCCGCCCTGTGAGCACTAAGAGGGCCTCTTTTTGCAAGCCTATTATGGGTTCGACCAGGCCCACAATGGGGCTGCCGGGTGGTGAGGGATGGGGCCCGACATATCCGAACGGACCACCCCCCGAAAAATTCCTGGGAATTTTTCGACCCATTCGGATTCAAACCCGGGTCGCCCAGAGCGGTAGGCTGCCACCTTGACCACTCGGCCATCCGGCCGCAATCTCATTGTGGTGTCACCCTGTAGAGACTAAATTGTACATAGAGATTAGAGATACATTTTTCACATTATCGTGCTTTATCAACATTCTACGCTGTACTTACGAGATTTGTAATGGAGGGTTAACTCTAAACGCACAATGAATTGTTGACCGTTTTTTAGGCGTCAGAGTTTTTCATCCAGCTATTCGGACTTGAATAGCTAATATTGAAAGATTGATCGCGGGCCATATAAATTCGTTAGACGGGCCGGATCCGGCCCGCGGACCGTATGTTGGCCATGCCTGCTCTATACTCAAACCTAAATGCATTTCGCCGTTATCGGCTCCTCAGTAGGGTTTCTCATAAACAAACCATGATACAAGTTAGCCATCAGTGATAGATGCATCACTCCCACAATTCACAACGTATTTAGTTTTTATATCTGATTAGGCTTTCCCAGCATTCCGCGGGTTTTTTAACCTCCATAAGTCAGAAAGGATTGAAGAATTGATTTTCCGTGTAGTGGTTAATTAATAGTGCAAACAAGTAACGACTGATTATCTGACTCCATCGTTTTTAATAATTTTTAAAAATTATTTGATTAATTATAATTATATTCATTAGATGACGACCGCAGGTCGCTAATATAAATAGAAGTATTGCATTCAACCCAATTATTAATATAACTTTTAGAAAATAAATAAAAATAGGTTAAATTTACCCTAGGTACCCAAGATGGCGGCTCTTCCTGTAGCCTCGAATAAGATCGAGGATTCGACGATTCGCGACGATTGACGTAGAAGGCGCTGTTTAAATATTTGTGACGAATTATATAAATTATCGAACGATAACGTGTTTGCGGATGCGTTCAGTGACACAGAAGCGAAAGTTATATGAATTTAAAAGCAGTCAAGGTTTATAAATTAATTTTTTTTCGTTAATTTGATAATAATAAGAATGGATAATTTAGAAATTAATTCTAAAGATTTTTGGTTAAAATGCACAACTAGTCAGTTTTATAAACTTTTAGAATCGGAATATGATGTAAATTTAGGTTTAGATACCAAAATTGGTAGTAGTGACTTCAAATTTGCCATAAATTTAGGCACTTTTTTAAGCTTTATTTGTCAAGTGAACGACCGTTCCGAAACCACTCTAAATTGGATTATTTATAAATTTGTCAATTCTGGAAGCATAGTTCATACCGACGAATGAAAAGGTTACAACAACATAGACAAATTGGAAGGAATAGATATCGAGCAGAGAACGGTCAACCGTTCGGAAAATTTTGTTAATCCAAAAACCGGGATACATACCCAAAATATCGAAAGACTGTGGGGTTATTTGAAGAACAAGAAAAATTTGCCTAAACATTACACAAAGGATCTATCCGATTCGTACTTGTATTCGTTCGTATATAAAAAACTCTTGAATTGGCCGTCGAAAAATTTCACGTATTCGTTAAGCATCTGCGCAATATATATCCCGGTTCCAGAAAAATAGCAACGTGGAAAGAACCCGAAACCAATAATGATAATAATTTATTATTATTATTTGTTAACCAATAATAATAAATTATTATTATTATTATTGGTTAACCAATAATAATAAATTATTATTATTTACTTTTCCAGCTCTGTTATATATAACAGAAAAAGTATGGCTATCAGGCAAAAAATGACCCCCAAGATTTTACGTTTTTGAAATGCTAAAAAATTCGGGGTTTTCTCTATGTATTGATGTTCGTGTGTGACGATTTTGTTCACTCTCTTTAAAACTGAACTCCTGTGCTTTTTGTCAAAAATTTCTGAAATTCGCAAAAGAGAATCCAGCGAACAATAAAGTAGTAAGTAATTTTAATTAATATTTTGTAATTCCCGATTAGTACCGCTAATTAGGCAACGCTTTCNTTATTATTATTTACTTTTCCAGCTCTGTTATATATAACAGAAAAAGTATGGCTATCAGGCAAAAAATGACCCCCAAGATTTTACGTTTTTGAAATGCTAAAAAATTCGGGGTTTTCTCTATGTATTGATGTTCGTGTGTGACGATTTTGTTCACTCTCTTTAAAACTGAACTCCTGTGCTTTTTGTCAAAAATTTCTGAAATTCGCAAAAGAGAATCCAGCGAACAATAATAAAGTAAATAATTTTTTAATTATTATTTTGTAATTTGATTTATTTTTCAGAGCTGCCGCCGTGAAATGCGTTCGCCATCTCGTTTGCACGCGTGCATGCGCAAACAAGATGGCGACCACTGCCATCTTGAATACCTAGGGTAAATCTAACCTAAAAGGATTCTCTGGTAAATACGATAAACATCTTTAATACATTTTTTTTTTTCATTCAACTAGTTGATTGAAAGCATAAAATGACCGACTTCCATTAATTACGTTTAATAATTATAAAATTACTGTTTACAGATATTGAATGCTTTTGTTTTGAAACTATTTTCCAGTACGAAGATGGTTTTTACGTATCTTATAATTATCAGGTAAGTGAAAAGAGAAATTTTGAAATACTCTATTATTACCAACAACGAATACAGAAATATTTACAGGATGTGCAGAAAGCTGTATGATTTAGCGGCAAAATTCTAGGACAAATGTAGCAAAATTTCGTCTCCCCAAATTCATTCATTCATTTCATTTTATTAAAATAACATAAGTTACATTTCCTGATTTCGCTGAGCATTATCAGGATTTAAAAACACTAACTAATTATGACAATGAACACAGCATATTAATAAACATTAAGAGTAAAATTGTACAATGATGGGAGGGCAACAAGGATATTATACAGGCGTAATATATATTTATACAAGTAAAATTTTATGAAAAATAAGATAGTGTAAAATATACAGTAACAATTAAAAGTAACGAAGATAAAATAAAATTAGAATCACAACAATTAAGCGCAAGTTAACAAATTATAAAAGAAGCGAACAGCAGAAGTGCAAAGATATTATAGATGATACATATATAGAAATGAGTATATATACAAACTATAATATATAATAATAAGACAGTATAGTGTAAAGTAGTAATAATCATTTGCACCAAAGTACTTATGTTTCGGCCACAGAAAATCCGCTAGTAGTTGAGCAATGGAAGTTGAACAATGTTCTCAACACCACTGAACTCCGCCAAGCATCTGTGCGTAATATTCCGACATAGTAAGAGCCACCAGAAGTTGAAGGATTGTCTTCACGCTGCATCATTTATATTCATTGGAAGTTGAAGAAACTTCGTCCACACCACAGTTATTTCAATAGCAAGGAAACCACTAGACGATCATATGATAATGGTGCACAAGAATAGAACACATAATATAATACACAAGTACACCACAAAGCATGGATTGATGTAGAGTTGATGCAGAAAACAGTCCAGTAGAAAAATGTAAGCTCCTTCCAGTTTCAGTAAACTCAATAAATGTAATAACGTGTATTAAGTTCAAACACGAACTGTTGTAG